GGAGGAATGTAAAAAGGAGAGTGTAATGGTAAGACGACAAGAGCTGACAATCTACAAGGAAGAGAAGGGAAGAGCATTAAATAAATGATGATATTTGGAAAGTGTAATTTCATTAGCCATATGATGAAAATGAAGGACAAATTGAATTTTCTCTTGAAAGTCCCCAAATGTAAAATGTCATAAAGGTAATTTTGTCAGGCTAGGGGAAAGGTCTAGCAAACATCAAACTGATTTCACCATGATCTTTCTCCTGTCATGCAACATGAATATCTGCAAGGAAATTTTCTAGAATTTAACTAAGCAGCTTATTAGCTAGATATTTTGGGTAGGATTTCATTTAAAGAGGCCTGTTCTATAATTATCACACATCTCTGTCCATAATAATTACATTTTTATGCAGAAGCAGGCTGTTGTCTTCCATTACTAACTGAAAAGTATAGTTAATTGCTATCCAAATGAAGTAATCATGAAGATTTTGGGATCCCAGTTTCACTGCTTGTTAGCTACATAACCTTGGGCAACTTATTTAACTTTGTGCTGAGGGTCACCATCTTTAAAATGGGCTTTTATGTGTTATTCTGTGTCTTGAATGACAATATGAAAAGCTTCCAGAACAGTGTCTGTTACTTAAGAGTTGGTTGTCGTTTATTTTGTGCTTAAAATGCACAAAAAAACCCTACCATATTGTCCCATTTTGAGATCTTTGCCACAGCCTAGTAGACAGGTGTCTTTTAAATGGTTCACCCTAAGACTGGTACTCATGCAATGAGGGGCCAGCACTCAAACCAGATCCTCAGAGAATACCTTTCTTCCCATCTCTCTTGTCTTACAAATGAGAAAACAGATCCAAAGAGGTTGTGACTGGTAATTTAACTGGTAATGATCATCCCAAGACTAAGATCCAAATCTTTTGCAGCTGCCTTTCCTTCTTCTAGTAAATGAGGAGTGTGCTTGTTTGTTGATAAGATAATGCATTTACCCTATGCTTGGCCCACAGGGCTTAGGAGGTAGGCATCCACTTCCCTGCAGCAAGCCACCTTCTGCTTCCTCTGCAGCTGCAAACTGGATACAGGTCAAAAGGCACCATGAAAAGCAAGCATCACTATATTTCATTGCATGCTGACTGAGTCTCCCTATCATTTGCTGCTGTTTGGGGGGATGCCCCAAGCATCAGGATGCAAGTGTCCAGAAGCCAGGTGAATTGGGACTTTTCAAACTCTTGCTGTTGATAGGGGTATCACTCTAACAGTATTCATCACAAAACTGCCCTCTCCTCCCAACTGGCACTTACCAAGGAGCATAGAATTATGAACAAGAAGATCATTTCTGGTCCTCACCATACAGGCCCTGCCCTCAGGGGGTTATCATCCATGGCTAGAACAAGGTAGAACAACCCCATGCTTACTGCCTGGGTTACCCTGCACAAGTCACATGATCTCTCAGTTTTCTCACTTATAAATGATGCCCTAGCTCATAAAAAATGTTTTCTAAAAAGTCTGGCTAGAAGTGGAGCTATGAGCTCTGCACACAGGATCCAGGAATCAGACAATTTCCCCTAGACTCCTTTCCACAGGGTGATGAACTGCTGGGTGGGGTCTGAAAGCACTAAGACCAGTAGGCAGAGCACCTTTATTCCTCAGTTTTCCACCATAAGTGCTGAACTCAATTTTGTTTACCCACTATCCAGTACATTTAAAAAGGGGCATCTCTAGGCTTGGCTGCTTGCTGCCCATTGGAGCACAACCTGAGGGGCCTGTGCAGCAAGTGGGAACCTGCCTGGCCAACAGACTACAGTGTTTCTTGCAGCCAGCAGCTGCTTCTGCAGAAGCAACTGCCCTTGACCAGCCCTGCCCTCAATCCACATAGAGCACCAACATATACACTAGAAACTATAAGAGACTCCAGCTAGTTTTCCTCAATTTCAGTGGTTCTGGGGGTCAGGCCTGGCACTCTGAACATATGAGTGAAAATTTGGCTACAGAGCTACTGCAGTACATTGATGAGAAACTACACCTCAACCCTCCACTACACGGTCCTCCTTGAAGGTTGAGAAAGAGCCCTTCAGATTAAAGTTTCCAGCCAACAACTTGACCAAGATGGGCAAATCTCAAAGCAGAAATACACAAAACATTAAGGCAACATGATTCCTCCAAAAGTCAACTCCACAGCAACAAATACCAAGAATGATGAAATGGATGAAACCGCAAAGAATTCAAAAGAACAATTATTAGAATGAGCAACAAGAGATCACATTAAATGCCTGAATGAATTCCAAGAGAATATATATAAACAGCTGAATGAAATAAAGCAGACTATGAAAGAGGAATTCAGAAAGATAAAGAAATTCTGAAAAAAATCAAATTGAAATTCTAGAAATGATAAGCTTAATATGTCAAATAAAAAACTCAGTTAAAACCCGAGCCAATAGACTGGATTAAGTTGAAGACAGACTATCAGGGCTTGAAGACAAGGTAAATGAATTAGAACATTCAGATAAAGAAAAACTAAAGTATGACTGGAACAAGCAAGATCTCTGGGACACCACTGAAAGACAAAGACTATGAGTTATGGGTTTAGAAGAGGGAGAAAAGGTGCAAAATAAAAGCAGAGAAACCATATTCAATAAAATATTAGCAGAAAATTTCCCAGATCTTGAGAAAGACATTGTCATCAAGGTATAGGATACTTCTAGGACTCCAAACAGTATCAGAAAAGAAGCTCTCCATATCATATTATACTTAGAACAAATCTACAGAACAAGGAAAGAATATTGAAAGTTGCAAGAGAGAAGTCCCAAGTCACATCTAAAGGTAAACCAGAATAACAGCAGATTTCTCAGCAGAAACTTGAATAGCTGTATTTCAAGCCCTTAAAGAAAAAAGCTGCCAACTTACATTGCTAATATCCAGCAAACCTATCCTTCATGACAAACAAAAACTAAAGTAACTCACAAACACTAAGCCAGCACTGCAGAATCCCACATACAGAAAAGGAAGATAAACACACCATGAAAATATAAGAAAGAATTAATCTCATTTGATGAAGAGATAAGCAAATGAGGATTATGAAAGAATTAAACATAAAAACAACAAAATGATGAAAATTGCTCCATACCGTTCAACAATAACTCTAAATGTTATTGGTTACAATTTTCCTATCAAAAGACACAGTCTAGCAGGTTGCATTAAAAAAAAAAAAAAGACCCAACCATTTGTTGCCTGCAGGAAATGCACCTCACTGGAAAAGAAAAATACAGGCTTAAACTGAAAGGATGGAAAAAGATATTCCAAACAAACAGAGACCCAAAGCAAGTAGGAGTAGTTATACTAACTGTCAAAGGAGATTTGAGACTAAAATTAGTCAGAAGACACAATGAAGGTTGATTCATATTAATAAAGGGACTAATCCACCAGGAGGAGATAAAAGTTATAAACAAACACTGCTGAACATAAGAACGATAGACCCCCAACATTAAAGTAGTACATGACTAAAGTACTCCCTCTCATGAATAGATAGGTCATCCACATCAGAACTAACATTACAGTTCAAATGGACTTAACAGGATTTACAGAATATTCCAACCAACAGCTGCAGAATACATGTTCTCAACAGCCCATGGAACTTTCCCCTAATAGATATTTTAGGACATAAAGCAAGTCTTAATAAATATCAGAAAGTTAAAATAACCTTCATAATTTTCAGACCACTATAGAATTAACAAAATTACAGAAAATATTCAAACATATGGAAACTGAAAAATACACCACTGAGTGATCCATAGTGGGTTGATGAAGAAATAACATGGAAAGCAAAAAAGTTTCTAGAAAATGAAAACACACCTTTAGGACACAGCAAAGACAATGCTAAGAGGAACATTTATATATATGAGTGCCTACATTAAGAAATCAGACATCTCAAACAAATAACCTAATGATGCACCTTAAACTCCTAGAAAAACAAAAAACAAGCCAAACCAAAAATTAATAGGCAGTAAGAAATAATAAAGATTAGGGCAAAAATTAATAAAAGGGAGACTTAAAAAATACAAAGAATAAAGAAACAAGAAGCTGGTTCTGTGAAAAGTTAAACAAAGTTGACAAACCCTTAGCCAAATTAGCCAAAAGAAAGGGGCAAAGACCCAAATGTAGAAGAAATGGATACATTTATAGATGCCTAAGACATTCCTAAATTGACCCAAAAGGGTATCAATCACTTAAATAGATCTATAATGAGCAATGAGATTGAAGCAGTAATGAAAAGTCTCCCAAACAAAGAGGTCAGAAAAAGAAAAATACAGACCAATTTCCTTCATTAACATAAAGGTACAAATTCCTAACAAAATACTTGCAAACAAAATTCAGTGATACAGTAAAAAGATTTTAACTGTGATCAGGGATGCAAAATGGTTCAGCAAACCCAAATAAAGTGGAGCACATAAGCAGAATAATGGACAAAATCACATGATCATTTCAGTAGATGCAGGAAAGCCTTTGACAGAGTCCAGCATCCTTTCATGGTAAAAGCCCTGAAGACAGTAGAATTAGAAGGAAGATCCCTCAACGTAAAAGACAAATAACAAACCTATGTCTTTTTACTAAAGAGGTAAAAACTGAAATTTTCCTAAAAAGTCATGAACAAGACAAGGGTATCCACTGTTACACAATATCCTGCTTGAAATTCTGTCCAGAGCAATAGGCAAGAGAAAGAAAGAAAAGTTATACAAATACAAAAGGAAGAAGTCAAATTACTCCATTTGCATATATGATCCTATACGTAAGAGACCAGATAAACACTTTCAGCAAAGTAGTAGGATACAAAATCAGCATACAAAAAACAGTACCTTTTCTACATACCAGCGACTAACAGACAGAGAAGGAAATATCACAGTGAAACCCCTTTGTACAATTAATTTATACTAATGAAAGTCTGCCTCCCCTCCCCCAAATGCAGCTGCTTCTCTCTTCTAAGGAATTCTAAGGCTTTTTCCCTGTGTTTCCCAGGAAGGTGACAGTTATGCTGGAAGCGAGCTTCTGTAGGTGAGCTGACCTTGGTCTGCTTGCTTCACTATGGCCTCTGCTTTACCTGGGGGCGGCATGGCTCATCCCAGGGTTATCACCTAAACTTGACTATGGATAACACGTGCTGTCCTCCTGCAAAGGAAAGAAGGAAACTTGTGAAGAAAGTAACTTGGCCTCATAAAACTTGAAGAAAATTCCCTACTGCATGAAGCTAGGAGACAGGAATTTAAAGTGTTTACTATAAAGCAATGATAAATGTGTAAGGAGATATGGTTAACCTAGTTTAAACATTACACAAGGTATACATGTATCAAAGCATTCCCAAGTTACCCTGTGAACATGCACAGCTTCTATGTTTTTATGTAGCAGGTAAAAATAAATTTAATTGAAATAAAGAAAATGCCTCCTGGACCAGCTAAACCCTGAATTTGACCACATACCTCCTATACCGTCATATGTAGCTTTTGAACATAGAGCTTGACCCACCTGCCACAGCAGTCTTGATAGCATTGTTTTCTATGACTGTCCAAGAGAGCAAGAGAGCAGACAACAAAAAGAGAGGTTACTGTGACAGGCAGTGTGCTAGAGCATCCATGCCATCCTCGCAATTGCACCGAGAGATACTTTCTATTAATTACACACACAAAGGAACCAAGCACTGGAAATATTAAGTGATCTGCCTGAGGTTACATAGCTTGAGGCCTAGCCCAGAGTCAAATCCAAGCCTGTCTGACTTAAGCCCCTATGCTTAACCCAAATATGTCTGCTCATAGAATTACCTGGGATGGTTGTTAAAAACAGATCGTCTGGGCTACATCCCTGGGTCTCAAGAGGAGAGGCCAGGGAAGCTCTTCTTTTAACAAGTGCCCTAGGTGCTCAGTGTTTAAGAAGAGCACTCTCCACAGCTGGCATCCACTGCTGCTGACCAAGCATGTAAACAGACCAAAGCCGAAGCCCAACCCATATGCTGGCTTCTTTCCCAAGCTCTGGGTGATGAGACACTTCAGCCACCATAGGTCACTCGCTTTTCTCAGCTGTAGAGTGGAGCTGCATCTCATTATTGGCCCCACAAATCCCCCAGGAGTGCCAAGAGAGTGAACTGAGGACATGGGTGAAGGCACTCTGAACAGAGCCCATGCTCAGTCACAGGAAGCGTCTGATGCTCCTGTTTAGTTAGCCATTTACATGTCAGCCTGGGAATCTAATAATCCTTGTAACCCCGTTCTGTGGAGCAATGCATTCAGATTTCAAAATCCACACAAAAATTTTAGAATACAATTGATTTCGCCTTTCAGTACCACCTCAATTTAAAGTTTTGTATTAGAGGCCTGATGATATTGCATATACATGGAATGTTTTCTGTGTGCATATTAAATATGGTTGATTTGACTTTGTCTATTTGGGGTATCTTTTAAGTGAATCTAAATCCTGTTAAGTGGAAAGTGTAGACTATAAAATGATCTCTCTACAGTGATTTCCCCATGAAAAACTCTAGTAGCTCTGACTCTGAGCATTTCTTTGTGCCCAAATCTGTGCTGAGCCAGTGGCTTTCATACCACCCTCATTAAATGTTACTCCCATTTGCTAAGACTTAAAGAGACGAGTTATCTGCATAAGGTTCATTTAGCTCCAAACAATAGTAGGTGGAGGATTCAAACAGAATGTCAGACCCCAAATTAGCCATCTTGCTATGTGAGCTCTGCAGGCACACACTGGGATGGGCTGCAAAGAGAAAAACAACAACAGCAGCTGCCTTTAGGACAGGAGCATTATGGTTCCTTTGTTCTGCAATTTTTAAATTTATTTTTATGATTATACTGGGTGTACAATGTGACATTTACAAAACTTCTTACAATATATCACAGTTGAATTTACCCCCATCATTCTCCTGCATTTAAGACAAAATGAATTATTGATATAAAAATTCCTGTAAAAAAGGAATTTTCCAAAACTTTAGAAAATAATGCACTAAAAAAAAAAATCTTCCTGGATTTTATGACTGGATGTCAAGACTTTTATTGCTTTAGCTTTGGGGGTTAGTTTTCTTTTCAAAACCTTCTTATCTGTGTTCCCTGTGAAAGTTATGGAGAAAAAAGTTGGGTTGACCAGAAATCCACCCGAATTCCTTCTACTCCTCGCTGGGTAGATGAGGATCAGGGAGCAGTGGTGAGAGGTTTGCTGTGAGCGCTTGTATGTCTGGGGAGGGCTGTCCTCTCCTGGCTGTGCCTGGGAGGTAGCCATCCAAGTGAATGCTAAACCCAGAACCTTCTAACCCTTCATCTCAGGCCTGGCCCTGGCATCGTTTCAGAAGCTGGGATAATCACACTCAGTACTTCCTCTGTAAGGACGTTGCTTGACAGCCAACTAGAAAAGTAAATCTTGTCCTCCCCAGCCCACCACCTACTTTCTCACAAGTGACTTCTCTTCCTCTCTAACAGATATCTGCCAGCGAAATCGAAATGCTTCTGATGAGGCTGCCACGCATGTTCAAACAGGAGTTCACCGGCGTGGGAGCAACGCTGGAAAAGAGATGGAAGTTGTGTGCCTTTGAAGGAATTAAAACTACCTAACTAACTGTGAAGGGCAAGGGATCTCTGGAAATGAAACCGTCTGAAGCCGGCCAGGGCTGTGCAGCGTGAGAGCAGGAGGGTGCGGGTTGGCCAGCATGGGACCTGTGCAGAGCCATCAGAGCCTGACTTTAGTTAACCCCTGTGGCGTTCTCTTGTGAGTGGAAATGTAATTGTGTACCAGTTCCTTAAATGAAGCAAGCTTCAAACTGTGACAGATCTGTTTCCTATGAAAACCAAACAACGATTCCATAGTCACAGTGATGGCAAAATGTTAAAATAAGGCTGCATTTGAGAATAGTTCACCTAGCAAAATATTTAGTTAGTGATGGAGTAGGGATGGTGGTTGCTAGGCTGCGGAGTTGTATATGTAATGTATAGCTGAAACCATTAAATGACATTTTCCTGAAAGTTAATCTTTCTGTTTTAGTTAAAAAAACAAAAAACAAAAAAAGTAATTTTACAATGACGAAAAATCATACCAAAAGAAAACTTGAATATGTGTCTGAGCAGTTACTGTGTTTTATAAATTAAGTTATATGCTGTTCCAGGGACTTTTGCCTTATTGAAGAGGCAGAAACTATGATTGGACTCCTTGAGAATGCTTTATCAAGAATATTATTTTTCTAATGTAACAATTCACCATCATAAGTTCTTTTAACATGGACTGCACAACAGTTTTCATAAAATGTAAATAAAGGGAAAACTAGTGCTGCTGTCTTGTACTCGGTATGTAACAATCAGGTTTATGCATCAAAATAAGCATTCAGTAAATATTCCTGTTACAAATTTTATAGCAAAGATATTAATTTTTTTCAATAAATATGACTTCTACCATATTGGTTTTGCTAATTCTTTGATATATTTTAAAATTCTTCCTTAAGAAATCTTTTTCTCATTTTTCAGTTCTTCCTTATAGCCTACCATTTGAAAATGATTAAATGAGTGATAAAAGACAAATATTATTTCAAATAGGAATTTGTAAAAAACTATAGCATTGAAAAATACCATTAGAGCAGATACTGTTTAACAGAAGACACAGCATTCAAATATAATCAACATAAACATTGTTTTTTGTCCTAATGGGGAAGTGTTAAGTAGCCAATTAGTTAATCATATTAATTGTAGGATTTTTTTATGCATATATGTTCTGGAAAATATGCAAGTTAGAGACAGAATGAAGGAATTTACACATGGAATAACAGTTTACACAAAACATGAGCTTCCCTCTCTTTTCCTAGCAAGTGTGCTACAGTTTTAAATTGTCTCCCCTTCCCGCTTTCTTACATAAAAATCACAAAAAGAGAATAACTCTAGATATTAATTTTTAATGAAACAATTTTTAGAAAGATAACTGAACAATGAATGTTCTCTGAAACCATGAACGATATTTAAAATCACCTTTTAGACATTATTATCCTCAGGTTCTCTTTATTGAACCCTGAAAAATTAAGGTACTTATTATAATTGCCTGAAGTATGTACACGTGTGTTTTGCTCAGGTCAGCGCTAATGTTGGAAGTAAGCATGTGATTAAAAAAAGACCATGTCTCTTCTTAATGTGTTCAGAGTTCAGCAGGAAGAAGACATTTTTCAAAAGCTTGTGTATGATGTGATCCAGGTGACAAGAGCCACGATGGAGTGCTATGGGAGTCGAATTAAATGTCTATCATCTGGGTCTGGTGGCACATGCTTATAATCCCAGCACTGGAGAGGCTGAAGCAGAAGGATAACAATTTCAAGGCCAGCCTGGGTTATATAGTGAGTTTGAGGCCAGCCTGAGATACATAATGAGACCCTATCTCAAAAACATAAAAAAAGAAGCCAGTATCATGTCAAAAGTGAAGGATTTCCCTGCAATCTCTTGATGCTCACGACTGCCATCATCCTGACAGATCTCTAAGTTGGATATCTCTAAGGCTATTATAGTCAGAAGTAAGATGACATTATTGATTAATAATGGTCCTATAAAGTAGAAAACAGATTCACCTGAAAGACAATGATAAAGAATTAAGTAAAGCGCCTAGTTACAAAGACGTGAAATTTCACAGGGTCGCAAGGGAAGGCACTAGGCTGGTTGTAGTGTCAAGCGTGGTGCAGTCATACTTCCAGATATTACCAAGAGTCACTTCAGCAGAGACGCCACCCAGGGTAAAACCTTAACTCGGAGCTCTGTTACTCACACAAAGCGATTGCTTGACTGGGAAGAAGAGCTGGAGGGCCTCAGATCTGACAAGACCATGCCAATCCCTAAACACACAGTTCTGAGCCTTAACTGGAATGAATGACTAATTCAGCTCCTAAAGACACTGAGATAATCCCTAAAGATGAGCTTCCGCGTCAGGAAATGCATCTGCGCTGTTTGCTTACACGTGAAATGACATATTTTCAGTTCAGGGCAGTTCAGTTGTGTGCTATGGTTTGAATATGAAGTGTCCCATCAAGAGGCTCACGTGTTGAAAGCTTTGGTTTCCAGCTGGCAAATCCAATCACTGAAACTGGCTCATGAGGGCTCTGACCTAATCCACAGATTATTCCATTGATGGATGCATAATTTGGTGGTGCTATTGGGAGGTGGTGGAAGCTAGGAGGTGAGGTCTAGATGGAGGACATAGGTTACTGCAGGGCTACCTTGAAGAGTATGTCTTGTCCTGTCTCTTGCTTGCTGCCTTTTTGCTTCCCGGCTGCCGCCAAGCAAGCAGCCCCTTCCACCACATAACTCCTGCTGCCAGGATGTTCTGCCTTGCCTTGTACCCAAAGAATGGATCCAATTGACCTGGGACTGAAACCATGAACCAAAATAAATCTTTCCTCCTTTAAATTGTTTTTCTCAGATATTTTGTCATAGCAATGAAAAGTTGATTAACACAACTTAAATAACTTATTTTTGGAGGGAAAAATTTCCAAATTATTTTATAGATTCAAGTCCCAGTGAGGCTTCAGAGATCACCTGGGAAAGGCACTCACATTGACCCATGAGGGCATACTGGTACTTAGGTATGCTTGTCACCCGTCCTCTTTAAAACTCATGGTAACTCTGTGAAGTTACTATTATTGTCCCCATTTGTCACACAAGAAAAATGAGGCTCAGAAGTTTTACATAATTTGGCCATCTTCATAGTTTGTTACTTGAGTCCAAGATTGAAACCCAAACTGACTCCAAAATATATTCTTCTATTCACTTAGTCATGCTCAGTGTATTCCCACTTCACCCAGGAGTTCAGTGCCTATGGATTGCTGATTTTACTATCCTTTATTCTCCACCATCCCTCGTACATGGGTAGAAACATGAAACCTCTTTAAGCCTTTTCCTCCTAAATCTACCCTGTGACAAATCAGGGTTCTTGGTTCCATGAATAAGAATATTGAAGGTTTCAAGATCCTTGTGACCTGGCTCAGAAGAGTTTTTCACTTGGCTTTCCATTGTTTCCCTGAATGAGACTGATTTTTTTTTTTGCCTTTGTGTTTTTACTCATTTTTCTGTCCAAATAACCTGACTCATGTCTAGTTATCATAACCCTAAACAGGAAAACACAAAGACTCCACCCATTGTCATGGAACTTCTCCCTATGTCCAGCAGAAGTCCTTTCCCCTGCCTCTGCCTAGCCATCCTATACTGACAGCTTCTTACGGTAGTTGTCACCCAGCTGTCCAGGGTGCCTATTATATAACAAACTCTTTGAAGGACCTAAGCACATCTCATTGACTTTGAATGATGTTTCAAATTTGTTTTACATATAAATATTTAGAAAATAGGACAGAGAATGAACTAAAATGTTTTTCTGCCTCTAGGGACTATTTTGCTCACAAATACATAAGAGGAAAATATTGTAAAATATTTGAAAAGGCTGCAGATATCTAAGATCCAAGATTTCAAGGCTGAAAATGTGATTGCTAAATTGGGTGTGGTGGCCAATGTTGTAATACCAGCAATCAGGAGGCTGAGACAGGAGGATCACAAATTTGAGACCAACCTAGGGTACAAAAGAAAACAAGGGCTGGGGATGTAGCTCAGTGGTAGAGAGCTTGCCTGGTATGCACAGGCCCTGGGTTTGAACCCCAGCACCACAGAAAAAGGTAAGTGACAATACACTGCCTAATACTGAAACGCAAAATAAGCAACCCAGCTACAGACCCAGATCAATAACAAACTCCTCTGTTTGGCCCAGATTCCCTCAAGAACTCCTCTCCTGTGCTTCCACCATGATTCATTTTATTTTACTGTAGCCCTTACACTATATTTAAATCATTTGTAAATTGGCTGCCTCTCCCAGTTCCATGAGTGGTAAACCTCTCTTACCCTCCAGTCCCTCAATCTGATATATTACTTTTAAATCAGTATTTTAAAAATAGATGAGCGAAAGAAGAGTATGGACAGGAAATTTCTGAAGAGTTGAGTCAGAACATTTTCAAATTTGGGGTCCAGTAAGAGAAGCTGAAATTTTCTGAACTCTTAGTGGAATTCTTGCCTTCTTTTTTTTTAAAAAGCAAAAATAATTCTTAGGGTACAATATGTATAATACTAATTTTAACCATTTGTAAGTGTACAATTCAGTGACATTAAACATATTCACAATGTTATAGAATCAATCACCAACTTAACATTACCCAAAACTTTTTCTTAATCCTCAGAAAAACTCTGTACTCATTAAACAATAACTCTATTCACCCCACCTCCAGTCCCTGGTAACTTCTTGCATCTCCAAGAATTTGCTTGTTCTAAGTAGCTCATACAAGTGGAATCTTACAGCATTTGTCCTTCTGTGTCTGCCTTCTTTCACTCAGCATAAATCTAAAGGGTTCGTCTATGCTGTAGCATGTATCAGAACCTCATTGATTTTTAAGACTGAATCATATTTCACTGTCTAAGGAATGTTGCTGGCTTAAGTAGCCCTTACCTATTGCAGTGAGGAGAAGTCATTGGTCTATGTTTGAAAAATACTGAAATACAACATCAAACATCATTCCATAGTGTCAGGAAACTT